AGTGGTTTCTGGCTGGGTGACCCTGCCTCTGCCGCCTCATTTAATCCTTACATGTATTATAACCATTTCAGAGCCCAGGAAGCTGAGTATCAGAGGCTGTAAGTTGCTAAGAAGCATGTGCTCAGTCTCCGTCATGTGCCAGGGCTTTGCCAGCCTTCCTCAAGTCTCAGCACACAGGGGAGGGTTGTCCTTCTGCAGCTCTCAGGCCCTATCAGGCCTACTAGGTCAGGCTGGACTCTAGAACCTTCTCTGGTAGAGAAGCTGGGTACCACAGAAGCCCTTCTGGAGCCTGAAGTTCAGGAAATCAGGAAGTGAGCATAGGATCTTCTCTCCATCTCCTTCACCCTGGTCTGTCCTGAGGCCAGAGGATGGCCCGCTGGCCACCTGGCCATCAGGCTAGAGCCAGAGCTGGGTGTCCTCCTGCTTTGAGTACCATCCAGCCTGGCCTGGCCTCAACCACATGGTGCTGACCACAGGCAAATCCACAGCTGCCTGTCTGTCTTCCAGGCCCATCTGCTGGTGAATCAGTCTGGCCAGCAGACATGCCATGGGGGGTGGGGAGAAGTTGGGTTGTCTGGCTTGGATAGGAGGAACTGGGTTCCAGCCACCCCCACCCTGTCATTATGGAGTGGTCTGTAAAGAACAGTGTTTTTCAGCTTCACACTGGCTCCCTCAGCAGCCCCAACCCTGGTCAAGGTATGGGGGATTTTAGAGGCACACCCCTGGGGCCTTTGTTTCTGCTTGAAGAGCAAGAAACCTGTCTTAAAGCCACCTTGATGGCATGGAGTGTTACAGCCAGTGAGTGCAGTGTGCTCAGACCTCACACATCTTGAGGTGCTATTTATGTAGAATGACAGGAGCCAGATCTCACAGGGACAGATGTAGATCTGTTGCTGCTGGGCTGGGGAAGAGGGGCTAAGATGCGGATGGGATTGGAGGCAGGCCCTGCTGCTCTTCATGGTCAGGACTAGAGGCAATGTGGACTAGACCACCAGGAAGGAAAATCTTAGACTTTATAAGGGGCGCACAATTGGTTCTGAGCCCACAGCCAGAGGAAAGACCATTTTGCCGGGACGGAGTAAAGTAGGCATGCCAGAAGTACTTCCTGAAGGAGGTGGTCCTGGGACCGGAGCTGTCTCAATCCTACTTGGAGGAGAGGAGAGGTGACCTTTCTCTGTGGAGAAGCTGCCTAATGACTGAGTTTGGCATTGGTGGATGGTGACCTTGGCTCTCTGAGGTAGCTTTTCTTCGAACAAACTCCTGGAACCTGTGCTACAAAGACAGGCCTGACCCCGCTGTAGTCCTTGTTTGGAGAGCTTGGCAGGGCCCTGGCCTAGGTAGAAGGATCTTGTGGGTAGAAGTGGCTTTGCATGGGTATCCAGAACAGGACTGGAGGACCCCCAGGCCACACAGCTGAGTGGCCTGAGCTAAGATGCTAACTCAGGCTTCAAACTGGTCCAGGCTTCCCAGGCCTTTGCCTGTGGAGGGAGCACTGTCTTCCCACCACTAACTGGAAGTCATTTCTCCCCCAGGGGGGCTTTTGAGGCTCCAAGGAAGCAGTGGACATGAAAATGACATACAAATTGTAAATTGCCCACAGACATTAGTGTCTGTTACTGTGGTAACCACGCAGCCTCGGTGGACCTCAATTGCCCCGATAGTGAGGTTATGTCAGCATTTTAATTTAATTGCATTATTTTCCCATCATAAAAATAACGGGCGTTATGTGTATACCCAAACACATCAAATTGCCTACATTAAATATGCCACTTTTGATGTATTGATTACGTCTTAATAAAGTTATTTAAATAATGTAGCTGCAGCACAGAAAATCTACAGAAGTAGAAAGGGAAATTTATTTTGTTTCATTCATCCTGCATAAAGCCTTGTTAACATTCTGGAAAATTCTAACCCCCACCTCAGCCTGTTTGCTTATTTAACAAGGCTGTGATCACTGGTCTATATAATTAAGACATTTTATATACAATTTTATATTCTGCTCTTTCCCCCTTAGGGAGTTTTAGTGTGAAACAGAAAGAGCCTCTGCTTTGCCTGGGAGCCTAGTGCTACAGGCTTGAGGTGTTCAGGTATCCTTGGGCCAGGACAGATGCTGCGTGGAGGAATGGGGTCGGTGGCCAGGACTGTGTGTGTGTGTGTGTGTGTGTGTGTGTGTGTGTGTGTGTGTAGCAGGCCTGGTCCCCTCTATTTAAGCATAAAGGGGCATATCTCACCGTCACCTTGTATCTATGCCCCAATTTGTTGCTACCACAGTTAGAATTTACATTCTACAGCTCAGAGGCACAATATGGGTCAGGGGCTCCCTCTGGAGGGCACACATCGGAACTAGGGGTACAGCTCAATGATGGGCTGTAATTATCCTGGGTCCGATCCACAGCACCCCCCCAAAAAAAAGTTTTTAATAAAAGGTTTGTGTCGAGTAAATGAACACATGTACCAGACACGGGCACCACTATGGCTTTTAAGTACATCTTATAGGTCCTCCCTCATGGAGCCAGCCACCAACTACAGACAGGGACTATAGCGTACACCCAGGCCAGGAGAAGGGGGGACAGGTTGCTGTGGAATGGAGTCAAGATGTTGGTAAGCCACACTGGTTCACCAAACAGGCTGCTCATGTGCAAGGTGAGAAGAACGTCTCTAGGATCTGCTGTGCTGGTGTCAAGGGAGGAACACTTAGGCCCAAGGTCCAGGCTAGATGCTGACATCAACTGGGATGAGGAAACACCTAGGTCACGCGCATGGAGTTACGGCGGGGTAGAATAGGATAGGGCCAGCCTGGTGTCCATCACTGCAGGCTGTCGGTCACACATCTGCTGAACGTTGAGTTTGGGCTTGTCAGTGGCCCGGTTGGCCAGTGGCTCTGTTGCCCCTGTCCCATGGGGACTGGTAGACTAGCCTGGACAGGCCCCTCTGCTGGCAAAAGCAGAGGCAGCAGGGTAGAGCTGAGTGTATAAGTCCCTTCTTGGCTCTGTTTGCAGCTTGCTACTGTTGTCCCCTAGGCCCAAGCAAAGCCTAGCCCAGAGTTCAGGGCAGGTGAGATGTTTACCGTTCAGGTGGGGGACATGGGAGTTCCAGAGAGAGGAGCAGGTGCAGGGAAAGGGAGGGTCTGAGGTCCTGGTGTGTACAATTACAGACTGCTCTGAAAGTGAAGCATAAGGCTTCTAGAAGCTTTGGGCAGGAAGTGACATGTCATGGTGTCAGTCACAGTGTTGCCGCCCCTCCCCCACTCTTTCCCTGCTGCCTGTGGGGCACAGCGAGGTAGCTGACCATTGAGGACGGGCCCAGGCCTTCCCTTGAAGGACAGGTGGTAGCACTGGGATTTTGGTGTTGGAGACTGAGCCAAGGACTGGCTGTGGGGACAGGGAAGAGTGATGTTACAGCTAAAACCCAGAGAAGGAAATCAGGTTTGGGGACTGCTGGCAGTGGGGCATGATGAGAGATACCACAGTTCAAAAGGTGTAGGCATCTCCCTGGTGGCCTCAGGGACGCCTGCTGCTGCTCTGCTGGGAGTCCTAGAGCACTGTTACCTCGATGGCCTGTTGGACAGATGTTCCTGTTGCCACAGCTGGGGTCAGAGATTTTGGCACTGTCAGAGCCCAGGCCAGACAGGTGAAGAATCACAGGCTCCTATCCACAAGAGTAGACTGCTCTGACTTGCCAACAGTTGCTGCTTGGGCATATGGGTCAATGTTCTAGAACTTTCTGTGCTTCAAAATGTGTTGGAAATACATTTTTACGGAATACTTCCACTTTTTGAATACTAGCAATATGTTTAAATTAAGGCCGGACAGGAGGTAGAGGAGGGAGGATCTCTATGAGTTCAAGGCCAGGCCTGGTCTACAAAGTGAGTCCATGACAGCCAGAGCTAACCAAAGAAACCCTGTCTTGAAAACAACAACAACAACAATAATGTTTAAATTAAAATGAAAATCATTTGGGGTTTCAGTAAAGCCTGATGGTAGGTCAGCCTGTGGTTTGGGACTGGTGAACTCTAGAACTTTGTCTAGAAGGAACAGTGTTCCTCCTGCCAGGCCAGAGGCTGTCTTTCCCATGTGTGGCCCTTGCCCCGTGGCTGGCCGCCTGGGTTGCAAAGGCCAGTTGTCCCTTCTCATAGAGCCTGAGAAGGCTGGGGAATAGGCTTGGGGTTGCCCTCATTCCCAGATACTGAGACTGGAGTCTGGGCTCTCTCCAGGCACCTGCCCACACCGGCAGGTCAGACAATCCAGTTATGGGGGCAACCCCATGAGGAAGGCCTCTGGGTGTTAAGCTGAGCTCGGCCTTCTAGAGCGCAGCTTGGGAGAAATACCAGAGGCCTGCCTAGAGGTGAGACTCTGGGAGGGAGCTGAGAGTTCACCCTAATCACTACCGGGTACTGTCCTGGCAAGGGAATGACTTTTTTTTTCCCTGTCACAGGTATTAGGAGGGAACATAGGGCCTGGTTCAAGAAAGGAAGGCAAAGCATATCCGGATGGCTTTAAATGCTACCTTCTGTCCCCCGTTTGCAGATAGTCTGTTAGCCACTGTGGTCCCCAGCTTTGCACCCACTCCTTGTCTGTCCCAACACAGTGGCTTCCTGGCTTCAGGCCTAGACCTGAGTTCCCCCCACAGGTGTCCACTAGAGACACAGGCAAACCACTGTGTCTTGACCCTCAGTCCCTACCGTCCCCATAGACAGTTGCCTTCCATTGCCTGTACCAGACTGGCCTTTGGGAGTCCATGATGGCATCCAGCCCTGTGGAATGGCGCCTTCCTTCCCTCATGTCCCAGGCCTTTAGCATGACCCCACACTTTCCCCAGTTGTGTCCCCTGGATATAGGGAAGAGTCACATGCTCCTGAGAGTGTGGGGGGCGGGCGGGGATACTCGGCATGCTCCATGGGCTCCCAGGGTCAGGTCTTCTGAGTGTAGCACTGTACCAATGTTACTGTGTTATGGATGATACAGTGGTCTAAGCAATGCCTTTTGTCTTGCTTCCTCAAGCTGACGTCATCTCCACTGTCGAGTTCAACCACACTGGGGAACTGCTCGCCACAGGTGACAAGGGTGGCCGGGTGGTTATCTTCCAGCGAGAACCAGAGGTATGTGTGTGGAGGGGTCGTGGGGAGGCAGGAAGAGGATGGGCGGATATCTCGAGGGCAGGGATGAGGGTGGGCTCAGGTGGATGTGGTCTGGCAGGGCAAAGACTGCGCTCTGAGCAGGACTTCTGACCCACCTTGCCGAGGTGCCCCATCTAGAGTTCTTTCACTGACTCCGTTCTCTCACAAGGTCCCTGGGGCTGGAGGGGAAGGGGTTTGGGGATGGGCCTGGTAAGTGGACTAGGTGGGCTCCCAAAGCTACTTGCTGAGTCCCCACTCAGCAGGAGTTTGCTGATCGTTCAGTGGTTGGCTGCAGTCCCTGACAAAGCAACAAGCCCCCAGCAGAACCTCTCCTGCCTGTGTGGCCTGTGGTTGCTGCTAGAGAAGGAGGGAGGACTCCCCTCCTCCACCCCACCCAGCTCTCTGCTGGCCTGGCAGGTTTTGCTCAGGCTTCCACCCTTCAAGCCAGTCTTTTGTTGGCTTGTTTTGTTTTTGTTTTTCAACGCAGGGTTTGAGACAGGGTTTCTCTGTGTCGCCCTGTCTGACCTGGAACTCACTCTGTAGGCCATGTTGGCCTCCAACCCAGAGATCCACCTGCCTCTGCCTCCCTGGGATTAAAGGTGTGTGCCACCATGGCCTGGCTTCAAGCCAGTCTCAATCTGCTCTTCTGCCCTCCCCTGTTGCTCCGCAGCCGAATTCTGAATAAGACAAGAGTGACCTGAGACCATCCACCCCAGAGTTCATTTCTGAAACCTTAAAGAACCATGTGGTCCCAGCCCCCTCGGGGTGCTGAACGTTTCATATTCCATACTGTTTCCTTGTTTGTTCCCCCTTGCTAGCCTCTGAGGGTACAGATGCCCACCCATTTGCAGATAGACCAATCAGCTGCAAGCCCCATGGGAAGCTCCCGGGCTCTTGGCTGTGTTCTGTCACACACCACCCCAGCAAGGGTCCTCTCTATCATTGAATGTATAGAGGATTTGAAACCAGGGAGGGGAGAAGAGAGAGGCTCAAAGGAGGCAGGGCCAGGGAGAGGAGCGGAGGCCACCCTCGCCCCTTCAGAGTGTGGTCTCCATGCTGCATTAGCTCATGCAGCCCCCTCATCACCACCCCACCAAGCAGAGAGCTGCTGTTACCCTTCACCTGACAGAACTGCAGCACAGAGGGCTTAAAATTTGTCTCCCCAAAGGCAGGCAGGGGACAGCCTGAGACTCACAGGTGTCACAAGACCAGCCTGTCCCACCAGGGCACACCTGAGTCAGCCATCGGCAGCCGTCATTCTGCCTGCTGCAAAGAGAACTGAGCTCAGAGGTTCTGGCTTTCTCTCCATTAGTTTGTCTCTTTCCTCTGGTCCTGCTGACCTTTTTCACAACTATCGCCCGTGGGAAGAGGAGACAAAAACCGTGGAAGGATTTTCAAACAGATTCTAAAGCAAGACAGAGATCGGGACCTAAAAATAGACACTTTTCCAAATGAACAGAAAAGCCTGAAGCTGTGCTTGGCTGGCCATCTTCACTTGCTCCCAGCTGTGATTTCATGTTGTCATAGAAACTTGACTCGTCTGCTAGAAAAGTGGTCCTCGGTATTTATGGCAGGTCCAGAACTTAGATCTGGGGGTCTCTACCAAGATGGGGTTCATAGTCAGGAGCTCCAGCGCTGCCCACACTGGGATGGGAACCACCATGGGAAGCAGGGTTAGGACGGACCTGGCAGATGAGGGTAAATAGAACCTCGGCATTGGCATCTGGCATCAGTGGGGTGAATGGTGGCCATTTTGTGGCCTCACAAGCACGAGGACCTGAGTTTGATTCCTAGAACCCATATGAAAAAAACAAAACAACAACAAAAACAAACAAACAAACAAAAAAACCAAGTGCCTGCGATCCCAGTTTCGGGGAGGGCGGAGACAGACAAGTCCCTGGAACTTGGGGGCCTAATCGGTGAGGTCCAGGACAATGGGAAGCCGTGTCTCAAAGAGGATGGGCAGTGTTCCTGAGGATGCCACCCAAGGTTGTCCCTTGTCTCCGTATGCATGCTCACGAGCACGCATACATATCTGCTCACACCCATACCCTTGCAAACGTACCCTTACATACACACACCTGCACGTATGCACACCCCATAGAACATACACACCTGCACACACAAACACACACCTTTGCAAGCACACACCCCTGTATGCACATGTATGTACACGCACGCACTCGCATACACACACACACACACACATACACACACGTACGTGCGCCTCTGCACACATGTGGACACTTGCGTTAGTTGCTTACTTTGGTGGTGTTGATGGCATCCCCACTGCAAGGCGGGTTCAGCCCCTCCTCCTGCTCGCCTCCCTCTGCCCTGGCCGCTCCTGTGGCTCAGTCTGCCTCTGGGTTCCCCCGCAGAGTAAGAACGCGCCTCACAGCCAGGGTGAGTACGATGTGTACAGCACCTTCCAGAGCCACGAGCCAGAGTTCGACTACCTGAAGAGCCTGGAGATAGAGGAGAAAATCAACAAGATCAAATGGCTCCCGCAGCAGAATGCCGCGCACTCGCTGCTGTCCACCAACGGTGAGGCCCCGGGGGTATGGCTGGCCTGACCTCACTCGGGCTTCCTGCTTTCTCTGTGGCTTTAGGGACTACCACACCATTCTCTTCAGCTTTGCCTGGCTGATCACAAATCTCCCACCGCTATAAGCACAATGGTTGTGGATATTTCCAAGGTAGGGATGAGGCTGAATATTCTAAACAACAGGGACCAGGGCCAGAAGCCAGTGACCACTAGATACAATCTGAACTCTTAGCAAGAGTCACAAATCACCCAGAATGAGGCTTCTCCCCTCCCAATGGTGGGGAGAACAAGGCCTTTGTCCCTCTGCTTCAGGACATCATGTATAGCCTCAGAAAGCTATTGCTACATGCCAGCTCTGTGCTGGCCCAGGGCAGCCACACCGTTCCCTCGCTATCCGTTTTTCCCCTCCTTAGCCCATGAACCAGGACCCAGCAGTCTGATGGGGCAGACTTGGGTTGAGGCCAGCATTCCTCACTGCCTCAGTTTCCATACTGCCCAGGGGTCGACTCAGCTCCCTTCTGAGGAGATATGATATCCACCCAGTGCCCTGAGAAATAGTAAATGCTGTGTGAGCCTGAGGGAGGCCGGGAAGATGGTGTCACCTGTGCCTGCCCCGAGGAAGCCCCACTGCTGAGGGGGCCACAAGGGCTTCCAGGGAGGGACTCAGTCTTTACCACCTGCTCCCAAGGTCTTTCTCTCATATGCTCACTTCTCTCCTCATCCCCTCTCCATGTTGCTTCACAAAGTCTGCTCTGATGTGACGTCTCATTCCTCTTGACCCTCCCATGACAGGACACTTGTCACTCTAATTGTGTGTCTCTGTCAGGCTTCAAAAGGACAGGATCTATGTTGCCTCTCGTAGGCCTGGCTGGAATCTGCTCAGCACACTTTGGGGTCTTTATCCTGTTCGGGGATTGGATGGATGGTCACGTGGGACTGGAAGCATGTGAAGATGATACTGAGCCTGAGCGCGTGTGTGTGTGCATGCACATAGGTCTTTAAAATTCACTCTTTCCACCCCAGTTCTACCCTGCCCTCACAGGAGGCTGAAGACCACTAATGAGGGCCCCACTGGAAACCAGTTTTCCGTCTAGCTCCTTCCCATGTTCACAGTGTTGTTTCTTTTGATGGCTGAAGTTATCAGGGTCCTCTGGAGAGGCCAGACCTGTGGGGGCAGGCCAGAGAGAGGAGAGAGGGGAAGGTGGAGGAGCCTACCCTTGTGATTGTGAAACCAGAAGCCACAGCTCAAGCCTGAGGGTGTCTGCTGACCAGACCCCTTTTCCCGGGGAGGTAGGCTTTTGTTCTGTCTTCAGCCAGTTACATGAGGTCCATCATCTCCTGATGGCAGGTTATCTGCCTTTTGCATTCATATTTTAATTGCATCTAAAAGGTCCTTCCTAGCAAGAGCCAATATATTTTTGAACAGTGTCTCTGGCACAGCCAAGGTGAGCCATAAGTTTACCATCATCTGTGCTTTCTCCTGTGGCATCTAAGGGAGCAATGCAGAGAAGAGAGGCCCCGGGAGCTGAGCTGGCTTCTGGGTGGCAAGTTCCGCTGAGTTAGGAATGGCAAAGAGGCCACCCTTTTCTTAGGAAGGCACAGTGGCTCACACTCAATGTAGAGGTCAGTAGCAATCCTTGCAAGGGTCATGCCCTTTGGCCTAGCAACATCCCCCTGTCAGTGACTAGGAAAGATGGGGTAAGGACAGATTCCCATATGCAGAGGTATTCTGGGTAAGGCATAGTGGGGGAGAACTTCCGGCGCACACACACACCACTGTCCCTCTGGCTAGAACAGGTATTATCTTCCTGAAGGCTGCTGACAGGGTGCCTTGTCCTTTTTCTGTTCTTAAAGATAAAACTATTAAATTATGGAAGATCACCGAACGAGACAAGAGGCCCGAGGGCTACAACCTGAAGGATGAGGAGGGGAAGCTAAAAGACCTGTCCACGGTGACGTCACTGCAGGTGAGCTTCGTGAACAGAAGTCTGCCGTTTGTGTTCTACCAAGTCATGAGACCTTTAGGACTCTAAGAGCCAGGGCCAGGGTCATGCTATTGTGACACTATTCCTCAGGTGATGATGAATGAACCTCTACTCACCCTAGACTGGAAACCAATGACAGTCTGAAGTACAGACACCACCAAGTACACCGTGGCTAAACAGTATTCCAATGGGGTCACTTATAGGAACAGAAATGACTCAAAGACAGCTACGTCACCAAATCCTACCCCAGCATGGTGACAGCTCACAAAAGCTGGGTAACTGGAGCTCACTGCACAGTGTGCAGGCAGCTCAGCAGGTTGGTGTGTCCTTTCCAGGTGGCTCAACTGTTCTGAGTCTCTTCCGGGCAGCTCAGCTGCTCAGTTCTTTGTCTCTGTTTCATCCACCTTGATGGTCTGGGCCTGTTGAAGGCAGTTCATTTTGCCAGAGAGTAACTCTTTGCAGTCTTGACTGCCTATGTATTCTTGGAGAGGGAGGGACTCAGTGAACCTGTTGGTTTCAAGGACTTCCTGAAGATATTTTGAGCTGTTTATCTACTACCCTAAAGGAGCGTCCCTGAAGGATGGAGTCTTTCCCCTCCCTTTAGAGCAGTGGTCCTCAACCTTCCTAATACTGTGACCCTTTAATACAGTTCTTCATGTTGTAGTGACCCCCAACCATAAAATTATTTTCTTTGCTACATCATGATGGTAATTTAGTTACAATTATGAACCTTAATGTAATATATATATATATATATATATATATATGCAGGATATCTGATATTCAACCCCTTTAAAAGGGTCATTAGAACTCCCAAAGGGGTCATGACCCACAGGTTGAGAATCATTTCCTTAGAGCACCGTGTTTCACCCTCCTTGTAAACATCCTGTCCTAAAATATCCTGTTGTTTCACTTCTACATCCTATGTCTTCAGAATTCCCTCCAAGATGAAAGGTTTTATTTTATTGCACAGCGCACGTCATGTATGATTTCTCACTGGCATGGTGTGTTGGGCTGTGTCTGTGAAGGACTTTTTTTTTTTTTTTTAAACCTGCAGTTGAAGGAGATAGTAAGACAGAAAATTGTCATTACAGAAAGGTGAAACTGAGGTCCAGAGCCCAGCTATACACCACCCCTGTAGTTCCTGAGTTGAGCTCAGGGCACCCTTAGCCTTGGGCTACCGGGCGAAAAGAGCTGGACTAGATCTTTTTTTTTTTTTTTTTTTTTTTTTTTTTTACAATGAAGGCCAGAAGGAAGACGCTGTGGAGTTGTGCCAAATTCAACTCTTGTCCTGCTTAATGAAAGGGCGGCAGAGCATGAGGAAGTTCTAGTTAGGAGCACTTCCTGTGCTTTCAGAGGACCTGGGTTTGGCTCCCAGCACCTACACGGCAGCTTACAGCTATCTGCAGCTCCAGTTCTAAGGGCTCTGATGCCCTCTTAAGATGTTCCTGGATATCAAGCGCATACATAGTGTGATGCATGCAGTCAAAATGTTTACACACACAAAATAAACTAAATAAAATAGAGAGAGACAGAAACAGAGGTTCGAGACTTAGGACCGGAGTTCAAGTCCTGCCCCTGCCACCTTCTAGACCCATACCTTCTAGGCACCCTCCTGGAAGTTCCTTTTAGCCTCAACAGGCTCCATGAGGAGGTACATGTATCGTTCCACAGAGGAGCTTAGCGGTGGGATCTGGGACCCAAATCTATGGATGTCAGGCTCTGGAGGAGTCACTACCCTGTCCATTTTCCTTATGAAGTTCTACAGCAGTCATGAGGTGAATAATGGCATCGCTCTCTTCCTTCTTTAACAGAGTAGGTGGTGGCCGCAACCACCTCCCAGCCTCCCCAGCCTCCAGGATGGCTTGGATTTCAAAGGGGTACTTGGTAGCCAGCACCGGGTGATGTGTTCACTCAGGGCAGCCTATCCGAACAGAGACTGTGGCCCCTCCCTGCACTAGGCAATGGGAGCTAAATGAGTCAAGGTATACTCAGGCTGACAAGAGGAAGCTTGGTTGCTGAGGGAGAAGTGAGAGGGCAGAGAGGCTGGACTAGGATGCTTGTCCAGAGAAACCCCACTTCCTGTCTCTCTGAGACAGGATCCTCCGTATGATATCCATACAGAGAGGATAAGACAGAGGACCTGTGAGGGGTTCACAGATGCCCCCATCCAGTTACACAGACAAGGAACAACAGGGGACCCAGCAGAGTTAGGTGGACATGCCCATGCTGTGTGCACAGTCGGTCATGAAAGCACACGCCCACACATGTGCACAGTCTACACCTGCCAGTGCCCAAATGAGGGGCCCTGCCCAGTGGGGGTTTCATCTGCACCAGAGGAGCATAGTGCTTGTTGTACGGCACTGAGGCACTCCATCCAGGGACACAGCCCGGGCAGGACCTGGGTGGGTACCAGAGGGACGGGGGCAAGAGAAGATGGTCCCTAGTGTACCTGAAAAGACCAGAGCAAATAACCTGAGGGTGGACCAGCTGACAAAGGCCCCCTGGACCTTGAGAGTGCCAGCCTCCAAAGGGGGAAAAACCAAGAGATTCTTTTAGCCATATCTGAGTGGCCATAGCCTGGGAACACAGATGCAGGTTGTGTCCCAATATGGAAGTGGTCACATAAAATTTTAAGGAGTCACAAAACAAGGCATTTTCTACACACATTGGGCAGGTGGTTATAGCAAAGCAGGGAAGCCTGCTATAGGCCTCTGATGCTGTCTGATGGCATGCATTCTAACCCTCACTCGGTGAAAGTTGCCGAACTGTTAGACTCGTATACCCCTGACCCTTTTTCCCGATCATTGAAGGGGGTTTAGCTCAGACACAGAGTAGGTAACCAATGGCTATCAAGGGGACTAGAGCTAGCAGAAAATAATGTGGCTCTGGGTGTGTAGCTCTCTAAGTGCCCACAGTAATGCAGTTTGAATCAGTCAGTCAAGCTTGAGTTTTCAACATAGTGTGTGTGTGTGTGTGTGTGTGTGTGTGTGTGTGTAGTGTTCTGGACACTTTACATCACATGAAGTGGGTCCCTTGTACAGGTTAGGAAACTTTGAAAGCCTCACAGTTAAACCGCCATGTACAGCATGCTTCATGAGACATGGTGAGACCATCTGTGACCACTTATTTCATACCCTGCTTGGGTGTGGCAGCCCTCCATTAAGACTGTGTGTCCCAGGCCCCTCCCCCTTCCCTGCCCTTGCAGCTCTGAATGCCTCTTCTCTGCAGGTGCCTGTGCTTAAGCCCATGGACCTGATGGTGGAGGTGAGCCCGAGGAGGATCTTTGCCAATGGCCACACCTACCACATCAACTCCATCTCTGTCAACAGCGACTGTGAGACGTACATGTCGGCAGATGACCTACGCATCAACCTCTGGCATCTGGCCATCACTGATCGGAGCTTCAGTATCCTTGGCCTCGACCTGCAGGGAAGCGGCTTCAGGGTGGCATATCAGCACACTGGCTTGGGGGAGGGGTCTTCAGCCTCAGCAGCTTCCTTACTGAAGAACCATCCCATCTAGAGTGTAAAGGAGCTGGGTGTGGGATCACTCTAAAGACACAGCTGCTGAGGGCTCTATTGTACCCAATGCCTCCTTAGAAGGGCAATGATCTCCATCACCTTGGGCCCTCATAGGGTCCATGAAGGAGCAAGAGAGATAGAGGCAGTGTGCCCTGGAGGAGAGGAGGATGACTGCCTCTCCTCTAGCCTCTAAGGAAAGGACCACTTACAGGACAGTGAGCACAGCCTGCACCAAGCTTGGGGAGGTCAGGGCCGATCCAGGGCGGGCAGGCTGCTACCCTGTCACTGCTGTGTGGACTATTAATGACAGTCATACTAATTGAAGTTTCATGTGCTGGGCTCCCACTCAGTGAGGTAGGTACTGTTGTAAGCCCCTTCCAGTAAGGCACTTGAGTCATGGAGCCTGAGCTCAAAGATGACAAGTGAGGGGCAAGAACTATGATGGAATAGAGATAGTAAGAAATGTTGACTTTGTTGGTTTGGGTTGTGTTGTAGCTGTCTTTGGACCTAGGTGGCCACAAGACATTAGAGCGAGTTAGTTGTGACTAAGGAAAGAGAGCTGATCATCCCAACACTGAACCTTCTCCTTCCTGTCTTCCTTGTCCCATCTGGAATACAGAAGTTATGCTCACCCATGTCAAAGAGCACAGCATTCACCAGCAGGTGTCTATCAAGCACCCACTGTGTGCCAGACCAAACGATAGGCTTGGTTGCTGGCACCAAGCATATAAGGCCCTGACACGCAGGAGTCTCGGTGACTGGTGCTTGTGTCTTGGGGACAGGACAGCGTGTGCTGAGCACTTCCTTTATCCACCTCTCCTGGGGGCCATAGGAAGCATGTAGGCAAAGAGGAAGCCTTTGGGCCTTTGCCAAGTGACTCTGTGGGCCTGGAGTAGAAGGTGTATGTGAACGGGAGTGGGATTATTGATCGGTGAACCTGTGCTGCTGAGGGAGAGTGGAAAGGAGAGCATGTCAGTGGACATGTCTCCATGGGAACTAGGGGACCAACATGGCTGCTGTAGAATGCTGTGTCCAACTTGTGTGTGGCTCCAATTTTGTGAAAGTGACTGGTAAGCTAGTGACAAGGGATGACTGGCTTGTTCACCGGAGGAAGGGGTGTGTGTCACGTGCTGAAGACCCAGAGGTGGCTTGGGTGCTGTCCCTGTTCCTGTGCTTAAGCCCTGTCTGGGATCTCATGATGAGGCTGATCTGCAGTCGCTGTGTTCAGAGGCTTTTAGGGGTCCAGTGACTGGTGTTCTTGGCTGAAGATGATGAGGGTGCTGACACAGGGATCCGCCAGCAGAGGACACAGGGAGGAGAACAGGTGACACTAGGGAAATGACAGCAGTTGGATTTGGGAGGCTCCCACCCTGTCCTTACCTTCACTTTGGGCTTCTAGGTTCCCAACCTCTGAGAACTAGGTGCCCGAGGCTTCTCCCACTCACCTTTCGTATTGTGCTGCAGCAGCCAGGAACTGTGTCTAGGATCTCACATGCTGTGCATTGAGTGCCCTCAGCTCTTGTTTGCAACCCGGTCTTCTGGAGAAAAACCAATTCTTTTTTTAGATCGTCTCTATGTGTGGAAGGCCTCGGGGGCTCGACACACAGGAGGCCCTTCTGCAGGGTTCTGGCAGATCTGCCTCTTGCCTCACTCCAGCCACTACTTGGTTGCCATGACAACATCTTCTTGTCTTGAGAGCAGGCTCCTGGGAAGACGTGTGGATGAGCGTCATGCCTTGCCCGATGCAGTCTGTGGAGCCCAGGGGGCTTCTGTATTCTCTCTCATGAAGCCTCCATTTATACTTGGCATCTGCCTTGTTGAGTGACAAGCGGTAGCCACGCAGCATCAGGGTCCTTGGGGTGCTGAGGATGCGGGAAGGCCTACCCTGCTCTGCCCACCCTGATGTTTGGAAGCCAGCCCCTTCTTCCACAGCTCCACATGTGGCTCTGGGTGTGTCCCTCCTCACCAATCATCCTACTTTCTTCAGGGATGGGCTCCATGTTGCCTTATGCCCAGGCTATTGCTGTGTCTGAAGGTTCATTGTTACCTCTCTACAGCTAGCTTGTCTCCTGGTGTTTCCACTAATGTCCAGGGGATAGGGGTTGGTATATTGATTCTCTGCCCTCTGTGCCTGCTTCTCCCTTGATGTTTTGCTAGAACAAGCCATTGATTCTCCACCTCAAGGTCCAGACTCGGGATGGTTAGCAGGGAATCCCCACCTTTGCATAGTATGGATGCTGAGACTCAATTAATGGAAACCATGGGACACCCCTCACCCCACCTCCTCTCCACAACTCACCAGTCCAAGGAGATAGCATGACTCCAGCTGGTCTTCAAGGGATCGGTCAAGGCCCTTGGCAGCAGGAGATAAAGGACAGTATCTGAAAGTCCCTACAGCCTTGACAACGCTGCAGGGGTCCATGTGACTCGTGTTCCCTGTGTGTCCTTGGCAGGAAAGACCACAGATGCCACTCTGGGGCCAAAACAGCCTGGCTCTGCAGTAGCTTGGCAGTCTCTCACCTGACCTGTAGGCTGAGTGGCCCACACTGGGGTGTAGCCAGGTGTAGAGCCCCAGCTGCCTTTCAGGGCTATACCTGGCAGCCTATCCTCTTGTCAGTCTCTTCTAATCCCTGGTGGTGGTTGCAGTCCCCATCACAGAGTCACTCAGTATGTATGTCTGTCTCCCACCCCCAGCCCCTGCACCCATGCCACTCCTTCTTCTGTGCATTTCTAATAAGGACACTTGTGTTTGGGCTACAGTCCACCTGGGAAAGCCAGGAGGAGTGCTGTCATCTCAACAACCCCTCTGAATTACAGAATTGTGCTACTGCCCCCATTCCCTGGTCAGTCCTTGAAAGGAACCACTGTTTTCCAATCACATCTAAGCCCCCATTTTGCATATGGAGAAACTGTGGCTTATGGAAGGGATGTGAGGTTCCTGTGTGGTATAGCATATTCCAGAGAGTTAAGACCTGACACCCAGCCCAACTAACTTGTGACCTGTTCTCCAAAATTAAGGCCACCTGGAGCAGTCCCAGTTGAGGGTATCTAGAAGTCCTTACTGACACGGCATGCAAAGAGAGGTGTGTTCAGTGATTTGTGATGTGTGTTTATCCCACAGCCACCTCCTTGTCAGGGGTCTCCTGTAAGCCCCTGTTTTAGCATAGTTTCAGTGAAATTTAGTAGAATAATTTGTGATGATTAATCTTGGAATCTCCATGGAAACCAATCTCTGAGCATGTGTGTGAGGATTATCTAAATTCCATTGAGAAAAGAGGGAAGATTCATCTCAAATGTAGATGATGCCATTCAGTGGGCTCAGGTCCAGGAAAGGAGGAAAGGAGAAAGTCAGAATCCATCTTTCTCATTGCTCCTGGCTGCATGTGTATTATGATAGCTGCCCCCATACTTCCTGCCCTGATGGACTATCTGCCCTAGAACTGTGGGCTAAAATGATCATCCATATTGTTTTTTTTTTTTTTTCTTTCTGCACTCCCTCACTCTGAGACAGGGTCTCACTATATATCATTGGCTGACCCTGAAATTGCTGTGTGGATCAGGATGACCTCAAATTAACTGACCCTGCATCTACCTCCTGAGTGCTGGGATTAAAGGCATGCTTCACCAACCTTAATCCTACCCTTGCCAGGCATTTTGTTGAAGCAAGAAGAGAAGTAAGTAATATGTGCTCTCTCAGTACTTAATAGCTTCCATTCCAATGGCACCCGACAGCAGCCAGGTGATAGCATTTGCCAGTCCATGAGACCCATAACCATGCATTTAGCTGGACACCCAAAGCCTGAAGGCCACTTTGCTACCCAGCAGGCACTGACCAGTTCCTAGACTCCATGACCACGTGCTTGGCTGGATGCCCACAGACTGTAGGATGCCCTTCTACTCTTGCAGGGGTGTAACTCCAGGCCCCAGAATCCTATACTCTGTTTCCATCCAGCCCAGGCAAACCATATCCCAGCATTCCTGCATTCCTGGTCCTGGAGTCTCTAGGACATAGGTCAGAGCTGAGTGTAGGGCTGCCTCAGATCAGAGAACATTGTCCCACTGGGGAGAAGGGGTAGAGGCGCTGGGTTAACAAACTCATCCATGTGGTCCAGACATAGTTCAGATGAGCAGAGATGTGAAACTACTCCGGAAAAGTGCCCATGGCCCAGCGTGGAGGGAGTGCATCTATCTCTTACCATCTGAGTCTCTCTGACCACATCCCCTGATGGGAGGAAAAGTTTATTTTGGCTCACAATTTGAGACCTTGGCAGGGAAGGCATGGTGGAGCAGCATGGCTCATGGCCATGGGAGTGAATGCCAGAGCCTGTTTATATTAGGGTGGCCCAGGGGATGAAGAGTAAGGCAGGAACAAGGAGCAGGTGTTAGTGTCAAAGGCCTATCCCTAGTGACCCACTCCTAAAAGTTCCATGACCTCCCAAAATAGCAGTGACTAGAGGACAAGCATCCAGCATTATACAAGCCTGTGGGGGACAGCTCACTGTCACAGGGCACAGGGACAGTAAGCACCCCTTCTGCTTGGCTTCTGAGAGGGAGGTGGGCTGTGGAGAACAGTCCATGGTGACTGCAGGCTGGGAACCTGGCAAGCACTCTTCTAAGAGGCTATGAGTTCCGCTTTGCAGGGCAAGTACTGGGAAGAAGTACTGACTAGCAGTCTTCCGTGTAACTCCGTGGCTTGGGGGACTAAGGTCTGGGACATTTATGTGTGTGTGTAGGGGGATTAGAACCAGAGAAGCCACGCAGACATGGTTGGTCTGACATGGGCCTTATGGAGAGAAGAAAGCAATAGCACCGTCAATCCTTGTGCCCTTGACCTCACCAACCCAGATATTGTAGACATCAAGCCAGCCAACATGGAGGACCTCACAGAGGTGATCACAGCATCCGAGTTCCATCCCCACCACTGCAACCTCTTCGTCTACAGCAGCAGCAAGGGCTCCCTGAGGCTCTGTGACATGCGAGCAGCTGCCCTGTGCGACAAGCACTCCAAGCGTAAGTCTCTGCTGTAGGTACATTGGGACCGGCAAGTTGCCGGGGGTGGGGTGGGTGGAGCTGTTCTAGCCAGCAGCTGCCTCTCTTCTCCTAAGCACCCAATGAGTTCCTTGGTATGTAATGCTCACTTCCTGTTCCAGAGTCCACCAGCAGGCATCTATGAAGCCCAGGGATAGAGACTAAAACAGCAACAGGCATTTCTGAACCCTCTGGCAACACTCTCTACCTGTCTCAGGTGATAGTCACATCAATCTGAGTGAGCCTCTGTAACCAGAGAGAAAATGGAGGCCTCAAGGATGGGCCTAAGGCTTCAGACTGTGGCCCCAGTCATCAGAGGGCCTTGAAGGACCACCTACCCCATGCTATCAAGGCGGGCCCCACTAGGAGGATAGGGCTCTTTCCCTCTTGTCTAGCACCCACCTGTCCCTAATGCCTGTGACAAGCTCTGGAAACAATTCTGAACGAATGAGTGGATGATTCCAGTTGGCCCTGGAGGTGCTTAGAGAAGTTGAGGTGCAGACAGTTTAGGCTGTTGAGTGATGGAGTCTTGCTTCTCCCCCAGAAGCCAGGTTCTGCTGGATAATGGGGTCAGGCTGAGCCTCCAGTTCCTTTCCCATTCCTTGGCCAAGTTCTGTCCCCATGCCCCATCCTGCAGCTCTTCCCCAGGCTTGCCCATACTCCATGTTTCAGGAACCTTTGGTAGGCTCCTTGGTGGGTTCCTGTCATGGGGTAGGTAGAATACCACCAGTCAGGGATGGGGCTATTAAAGGGGCAGGGGTGGTCTCATGCATGTTACCCAGGAACAGACACTCTGAAGTTATGAAGGCCTTGGAAGGAGGGGATGACAGGAGGCAAATGCTTCAAGATGGAAGCTTTACCAAAGATGATTTGGGCAGGTGGAAAAGGTAGAGGGGTATCAGCGAGCAGGGCAGGACAACTGGGGAGCCACCATGGTGAGGGGGAAGCTGAGTTTTATTTAGGCCTTGGGAGGATGGCAAGCAAGGATGTGCCGGGAGGTGATGGTGTTGGTCAGAATACAGAACAAGCATTGCAGAGAGAAAAGACAGCTGGGGAGGGGACCATGTAGCCCCACAAAGTGCTCTCGAGAGGCAGGGCTGAGCTCTGCCTGGAAGGTATGGATGGTCAGGGTGGCTGCTGGGTGTGAGTGCTGGGAGAGGTTGGGCTATCGTCTAGATGGATAGAAGTGGGGTGTACAGACCTGGGGTGGTGGATTTGGGGCTCAGTGATGGGCTATTCACTGGACTTGATGGGACATGGAATAGTAGATAGACAGATGTTGATGGTCAGGGTCTTCACTGAGGTAGAAACTATGGGGTTATCAGCATGGGGTGGTGTCACCACTCTAAAGATGGTGGGACCTGGGAGAATGGAGCCAATAAATGAGGCAGAATAAAGTCTCATGCGATAACCACCTTTATTCAAAGCATCAGACAAGTTATACTCTGAGTGTTAAGGAAGGTCACATGGGTGACATTCTCATGAGTTCTAGTTGTACACAGTCACAAGGAGAAGCCACACGAGGCAAGAAGATGTTTTTCCATAAAGGCATAAACATTGAATTGAGTAACAGCAGCAAGCGATAGTAAGTAATCCGAAGCAAACTCACTTCTATCCACTACACCTGGGAGAATCATGAAAACACACTTTAAAAACAAGCCTGTGTTTTCAAGAAACCGAAGCCACAAGCCTCTTATCTTGTTTTCTCAGAGCATCCTCGCAAGCACTCAAAATTCTCCTCACACTATATCCCAGAACTGTGTTCGACGGGATGGGAAGGGAGACCTGAGAGGTCCGGGTGATTGAGGGCAGAGACAGCCTCACATACACACACACCCCTCGACTTCCTGCAGCTGGGCCACGTCAGCCACCACCCGAGCCTTCTGATGAGCACAAGTTCATTGTCTTAGAGTAATCTGTCAGAAGTGTGGTGTGAGCCTCACTGACCAGACCTAGCGAAGGGCACGTGGGGCCCCTGTAACTCTCAGGCAGCCAGTGCCCCTTGCTCTCCAACTCTCAGGGGCCACTCCTGCCACCTCCTCCTATCTTCAGAACCGTGTTGAGACTTGTACTGAACTCAGTTGCTCATTCTTACATGATGATCCTTGCCTTCACACTGGGCCCACAGGGTGAACTGGGGTGACAATTCTTCTCAAGATTAGCAGGTGAACAAACATTCTTCATGCTGTGTTTGGCCTTAATTCCCTTTGCTCTCTCTCTCTCTCTGTGTGACATTTATAGGTTCTGAGGATTAAGACAGACATAGCTGTGGCCATCCTTCTACCACCATGGGGCATTGGCCCAAACACCTGGGCTCACTCCCTGCTGGCTTAGATGGCACACGTTCCTGAATTGGATCCATATTCAGCTCTTTGTCAGACTGTGCAAGAAAAGATGGAAAGGAGAGGGGGGCCGGGCCTGCTCTGGATTGAGCTCTCTCTGAGTTCCCTGGGAGAGGCTTTGTGATATCTCCTTCAGTGTGACTCTTCAGAAGCCAGAGTCACCCCACTGGTCCAGCAGAGTACATGAGGCACTGGCAGTGGTGACTCCCATTTAAGAGATCCATTTAAAAACCTTCAACTGTTTAGAGGGTCTTTAGTGGCACAGGGAAGCTATGGAAGCTATTGCATTGACAGGTTCGGTGGGGGGAATGAGAGGCAGAGCAATACTGCTTGGCTCCCAAAATTGAAGCAGAGAAAGTACCAGGAAGGAAGACGTCAAGACATAGTGTGGTAGATCATGAGACAGTGGTGGTGTTTTGGAATTTGTCTGTGTATCTTCATGTTAAAATTAAGAAGGAGTGTGTGTGTGTGTGTGTGTGTGTGTGTGTGTGTGTGTGTGTGTGTGTTTCAGGCAGGGAGAGGCTTTTGGTACTGGCTGTGTGCTCTGTAGAGGTGGCAGCCGGAACCACGTGGCCTCTATGACATCCAGATGCTTGGGGTGTTACAGGAGAGTGAGAAAGCTGCACCCACCAGGGCAGCTTCTGTGAGTCCCTTGTGCATCTCCTGAGCTCAGACCTAAGAAGTCACCCTGTCATGTGACTGTCGTATGCCTGGTGATGCTGGAGCCTCACGGAGTCAGGTATGGGAGAGGGAGAGCTCGCTTTGCAGGGAGCTCTGTTCGCAAAGTGAGCTCTGTTCATCCCACGCCTGCTATCGGGTACAGAGTGCCCACAGGCTTGTGTCTGTATTGTGCTGTGGTACTTGAAGGCTTCTGCAAGGCTGACGTACAGAAGGTGCCACCACTGAGGGCTTTGGAGAGAGCTGGCTGGCCTCAGGGCCAGGTCTCTTCTGAAGAATTCTCGGAGCCCATTGCCTGGTTGCCCAGTGACTCACCTGGAAGCTTTGACCACATCGGCATGTCTAGGCCTCTCTGCAGGCTGGTGGTCCTGTACATACACAGGACTGCATGGCACATGGCCGTCTACAGGTTTAAGAGTACTTGTATCTGGGTGCATAGGTGACTCTTCCCACGCTCTCTGCAGTGTTGTTACAATCATTGTACACCCCTGCCAAGAACTTGGCAGCTCTCTTCCTTTTTCCTGAGGATGGCATAGTACTACTGCCCCTCAGAGTCTTGTATAGGTTGTGTGTACATCAGCCAGGGGTCCTTGTGAGGGAGAGACTTTTTTTGCTTTTTAAACACTAGGGTTTATTTTATTTTATTTTTTAAATCATAAGTCTGTATCTCTGGGTTAGGTATGTGCATGTGGGTGCAGTACCCACAGAGGCCAGAAGAGGTCATCATTCCTTGAAGCTGGAGTTGCAGGCAGTTGTGAGTCACTTGATGTGGGTGCTGGGAACCAACCTGGGATCTTCTGGAAGAGCAGTACACACTCAACCACTGAGCCATCTCTCTAGCCTCATGATTTTGTTTGTTTTTGTCACTAAGTTCAATTTCTCTTTTTGGATTAGTACCTGCCTTTGTTTCTTTTCCTGTTGCTGTGATGAAATACCCTAGCAAAAGCAATAAGGTAGAAAAGGTTTAACCTGGCACACAATATGATGTTACCGTTCATTGTGGTTGCTGAATGCAGATGAGGACATGACTGCTTCTAGGTATGACTGAAGGGAAAGTTTCAATTGTAGATATGAGGTAGAGTACATCCAGAGGCATCTGGAAGAGTCTAGACTGGACAAGGCCATGAGAGGAGAGAGGATCATAGAGAGGGGAAGAGGAGAGAGGGAACAAAGGAGAGGGAACCAAGAGGGAGCCAAGCAAACCAAGAGGCCAAGAGAGAGCCAAGGGCCAAAAGAACCAAGTGCATGGCCAAAATGGTGGCATTATAGAGGAAAGAGAAGGTGGGGCAGGGAAGCAAAGCCCCTGGATGGAGAGGTTTAGGGAAGGAGACAGGAGTGAGAAGAGCAGAGAGGAATTGCAGACACTGAGTGAGCCTGGCAGCCAGCATGCTCTTTGGTATGCTAAACGGGCACCTCAGTTGGCCATTTGTCCCAGTTTCTTTGGGAGCTGTCATAGGGAGGTCATGTCAGTAGAAACATGAGGTGACTAGTTAAATCACATGCACAGTCAGGAAGCAGAGAGAGAGAAATGTTGGTGTTCAGTTTTTTTTTTTTTTTATGCGGTTCACGGCTGAAGCCTGGGGAATGATGCCACCAGCTTTTAGGATGGGGCTTCACAGCACTGTTAACCTAATCATGTACTCCCTCACAGATGTGCCTAGAGACCTGTCTCCTAGGTGATTCTAGGTCCTGTCAAGTTGACAGTCAATATCGCCATCACAGTTGTACCTCTTGCTAATTTGACACCCCAACACATTACTTTTAAGCCTTACTTTTTTTTTTTTTGAAACTTCTTATCTCCGTAGGCTCATCTCATAGCACAAACTGTTCAGTTCAATTTCAAAAGTCCCCATGGTCTTTGGCATTCCACCATCACTTGAAAGTCTTAGCTAAGTCTTATCTAAGATGCAAGGCAATCTCTTAATTATGAGTCTGTAAAATTAAAACATACAATAACTCAGTGTAATATAGGAAGGGTGAAGTCATAGAAAGGAACAGTTAAAGCAAGACCAAACCATCAGGGTAAACACCAGTCTTTCAGCTCCAAGTATCTGACGCTTGCTGGACTCAACAAGGCAGCAAAGAGCTTAAGTAGCTCCACTTTCCAGCTCTGTTGCCCTCAGCACAGAGTCTCTCTCTTAGGCCAGGTCTGCTTTGCGCCTGCATTTCCTTGGTGGATGCCCCAGGGTCCTGGCATCTCCCGTATCCTTGGGTCTCCACTGAAACATAGTCTTTACCTTCTGAGCTTCACACAGTGGCCTTCAGAGCCTTCAGGGCCTTCAGGGAATGTTTTACTACCACACAATCTGGCCGTAGTGGCTTTCTGGAACTTTGGTGCAAGCTTCCATGACCTCCTCGCTCTGGAACATTTCCTGCCTATGAAACCAGTGCCCCGTGGGTGGCACTGCTGAATTCTGCTGCCAGTGCGACGTGTAGCCTGGCCTCCTGGGGTTATAGCTGTATCAGCTTCTGTGGGCTAACCCCAGGGAGACTGGTGCCTTAGCAGTGTGCAGGGAACCCCTGCAGCTGGACTCTCAGTCCAGGCTATATTCTTTCAGAGACTTTGCATTTTCACTGTTAGAGCCTTTGATGGATGGGTCTTGCCCTCAGGGCAAGTTTGTTCTTCGTTCTCCTGAGAGATCAAGCATCGGATTCCCAGTCACCAGACATGTGTTGTTTCTTATCAGCCATGATCATCATTCCAGCTGCATTTGTGTAAAAAGCTTGGAGCTTTCTTTGGTTCTTTGCCTCCCATTCTTCTGTTTAAAAGCCAGGGTGTGGGTGTCAGGGTCTCTGTCCACAGCCCCTTTCCTAAGAGATGACACAGCCATTTTCTTCTGACTGAGTGAGAAGCATTGTGGATTGCTGTGTGTGCTCATTCCTGCCACCGAGTAGGTGAGGAGGCTGAGGGTCAAATGAGCACAGTAGTTTCCCAGACCTGTCTGAAACAGGCCAGGCTGGGATATACTGACTCTCCTGCACTCCCACCCAGGGCCTCAGCTCTCCTGGAGACACTAGAAACCCAGGTTGTTGTCTGCTAGGCATTGTGACAGGGTAACCATAGAAACATTCATCCGTGATTCCTCAGAATAGACAGTTATTTCTGCTTTTGACAGTAGAGTCTGTGGGAAGGAAGGGCTCACCACCGAGCAAGAGGTTGGCTCTGAATAGGTAGGGATGGTGGTTCACCATCATGGGGCATCAGCAACCTGAATACCCTAATACTCCAGAAACCTGCAGCTAACGGTGGTTGAGCCGCTCAGGATGGAGCTGTGGGAGCCGAGCAGCCCCTTACCATACCAGCATTTGTTCTTCCTCAACCTCCTCACAATATTGCCCTGGAGCCGCCAGAGAGCGCTCTTCTCAGTGGCTTAAAATAGCATGTGTGTTTTTGTACCATCGTGGTTGGAGATAAGGTCAGGGTGTGGCAGGGATGCCTCTTCTGGAAGCTTTAGGAGCAACTGTTCCCTTGCCCTTCCTAGCTGCTAAAGCCACCACACCTCTCAGCTCATGGCTACCACTCCAGCCCCTAGACAGCCAGCGAAAATCCCCATCCCGTCGTAAGGTTCTCAATACAGTGGTTTTAACCAGCATGGTGGGAAGAGGTCTCTCTGATAGCACGAGCCTGTGGAGTGAGGCCGAGAGCTCTCCCAGGGATGCTCTTTGCAGACTTCAGTAGAAGGGACAGTGTGACAGGAAAAGATGGGGGCGGTGGGACTCAGAATGGGGGCCAGAGCTTGTCAGTTCTTGAGGGGCCCGCTTTGTCTCTTGGGGTTTGATTGTATGAGGCTGAGCAGGAAATGAAGAGTTGTTAGACATTAATCAGTAAAAGCATCATTGTATCCAGTTTATCAGTGCTTCCATACCTCCTGGGCTGGGCCACTACCGGGGGCTTTTGGGGATGGAAAGAATGACTCTGCCCTGAGCCTCTTGGGAGTTCTGGCCAGCCCTGTGCTTCTAGTGAGGCACTGGGTGGGGCTGCCACTCAGTGGTTTCCTGGGGGCTGGCTCTACAGGTTGGAGATGCTTAGGTGGTGGTGAGTTAATGCCAGCCCCACGGCAGTCTTAATCCCCACTGCTCCGCTGCCAGCACCACTTGGGGATGTGACTGACTGTTAGGCCCAAGGGGGGAACCCTAGGGAGCGCTAACTTCCGGAGGGGGATGAAGAGAACCCAGGAGACCAATCATCAATGCAAAATCACAAGGGGTTTATTTTGACTATTGTGCAATGGGGTCTCCCCTGCTGGTCAGCAAGGGGTGGCACTAGGAGACAAAGGCCTTAGGTTTTTAAAGGACAAAGCACGGGAGTTTTAATGGGTTGCAGTCTTGGCAATTCAGGATTGGATGAGGTATTTAACTTTTAAAATAATTGGTTGGTTCTGGGCACCCTTAGGTCCAGTCAGCCCTGTCATAAATATCTGGGGTATATCTGATCTTCAGGTCAGTTTGGAATTTCCTGCCATATGAGATATAGCCGCAGTTAAAGGTGGGAGAGTGATTAACTCATCCCGTGTCTGTTCTGAGGAGTGGGGGCTACAGGCTTTGGTCAAAGGTCAGGAGCTATTCAGGAAGATTGGGGCCATTTGGCCCAGTTTCCAAACAAAGTTTATCTCACAGGCGCCGGCCGGTGATTTTCTCTATACCTTGTAGAGATCTCTGCTTGTTCTCTTCCTTATCTCTGCCCTCACAGATGGCTAATGTCAGGAACTTCTACATTCCTCTGTTCTCTGGAGAAGCACTAAGAGGCTTTAATTAACATGGGCCTAAAACTTGAAAATATAAGTTATAAGGCAATTAAAAGAAACATAGGTTACAAAGTTAGGCTGATTCTTTCACTGACCACAGGCATCCACTGCACGTGCACAGAGGCAGCTCTTGGCCTGAAGATCCGGAACCAGGTAGTACCAGAACCACATCAGGGTCTGGCCTACCAGGAAAAAATATCCAGCATACCAGAGACTGCCAAGACACTTTCAGTCTGGTATTCTGAACTGCCAGTAGGGGGAAGCAGAGGGTTGCATCAAGCATAGCTCCGGGTTCAGCTACCCCACTTTCATCTATCTACCCCTGAGATCTGTGCGTGGATTCACTCTCAGCCTGAGTTTTTGTGATAAAAAAACGGGGATAATTAGGCTACTACCCTGAAGTTTTAAAATTAGGGGATTGGAGGAGGTCGTTCACAGCACAATAAATACTAAGTTAACACAATTTTCACAAGGGAACCCTCCGGGGGCTGGCTCTTCCTCTTTGGAAAATCCTTAGAGCCATGGGTTTCGTAGGTGTTTAGTGGAAGATTTGATGAATGAATGAATGAATGAATGAATGAATGAATGAATGAATGAATGAATGGTGGTACAGACAGCTAGGTCCAGGTGGATACAGCCCGCTGCGGTTCCCACTGTGGGCAGGACAGCCGATAAGAGCTGCTGACTCTTTCTCCACAGTCTTTGAAGAGCCCGAGGACCCCAGCAACCGCTCCTTCTTCTCTGAGATCATCTCCTCGGTATCCGACGTGAAGTTCAGCCACAGTGGGCGTTACATGCTCACGAGGGATTACCTCACAGTCAAGGTCTGGGACCTGAACATGGAGTCGAGGCCCATAGAGACCTACCAGGTGTGTGTGGAGGTCTGGCAGCCTCGGGGCCCTCTGTGTGGTATGAACCCCCCCCAAAGAGCCCCCCCTCCTGCTGATAACCCCACAGCCCAGCTGTGGAGGCTTTTCATGCTGCGTTGCAGATGAAGCTGCAGAGAGGCTCCCAGCCCAGTTCTTGGGGTGGTTAGGGAGGTCCCTGCGTGGGGCTGACATCTCATGTAGAGTCCGAGTTTCCGGGGAAGGAGGGGAGGAAGGAACAGAAGTCAGACAGGAGGTCCGGGTGCGGATGCAACCGCTGTCATGCACAGCCTTACCAGTAAGTAGGTAAGCATGACTTCTGCCCCCACCCCCACCCCCCGTCCCCACTATAAACATCTGTGTGTGGATTGTGTTCAGTGGTAGCATGAGAGATGTTTCTAGATCCTCAGGATGGCCTTTTGAGCCAGTGTGCCGGGTGGACCACTGGGCACTTCCGGGGAAGCTTTATTCATCATCATGCCAGGTCTCTTGGTGGGGCACAGGACAACGCTGGTTTGCTATTAAAGTAACACATGTGCAGTACAGCCTGTTGGTGTCTGGCAAGGGGGAGGTGCAGGGCTTTCTGGAGGCAGCTGCATTTGTTCTGGGCTTTGAAGGTTGTCTGTTCCCTTTCCTGGTGCTGTCCCCATGGCTCACAGCTCCGGGTCAGCTGTGTGTGCAGGGCTATGCTGAGGTTATCCATTCTATGGTGGGTTGGGGGCTATTTGGTGGCCACTTATCAGCCTGTCCCCTCTTCTCACCAGGTCCATGACTACCTGCGGAGTAAGCTCTGCTCCCTGTATGAGAGTGACTGCATCTTTGACAAGTTTGAGTGTGCCTGGAATGGGAGTGACAGGTGAGCCGGCTGCAGTACACAGTCACGCCCCTGGCCCTTCACCCTAGGAGGGGTTTCCTGTCGATTGTCACCACGGTGCTGCCCTCTGCCGGGTGGAGGTGTGCAACAGGTCTCCTCCCTCGCAGCCCAGCTCTCAGACTCAGCTCTCAGACACAACCTCTACTGCATGACACAGGCTCCTGAGATGCCACAGCCGGGGCCCAGCACAATGTCTTGTGGGTGGGCCCATTGCATCCTTCATTCCCCCTGCTGTACCCAAGGGCCCACCTCTCCGTGTGCCCTTTCTTCCACAGCTCAGATTTTCGGCTAGGAGGTAGGAAATCGCTTCTTTGCCCCCACCCCCAGGCGTCAAGGCTCACTTAGTTACCTGTGACCTTTCAGTGCAGAGGCTGATAGGCGGCCCCTCAGGGTCTGTGGCTGGATAGCCACATATCCTGCTGCCCTGGTGGAGGAGAGAGGCTCCAGGTGACCAGGGGAGCATATTACCACACGTTTTTGTACCAGAGCCTCTGTGGCATCACCTCCCTCCCCACTGACCCTGTCCCTGCATTGACGGGTGAGAAATGGCGGCCTGAGAGCCTCCGCCCGAACAACTGTCCATCCAGGGAGGTGGCATCTTCTTTGCCCTACATTCCAAAGCTTCTGAGGTGGCCAGTAAGAGTGGCTTTGCTCAAAGCTGAGGCTGTGGGTGGGGGTGGTGATGACAGAAAAAAGACCACTCAGGGGAAGCAGGACTGGCCCCACCTGGGGGCTGCTTTCGTCCCCAGGATCCACCTGTTCTGCAGGGGTCAGAACAGAGCAGTGCTGAGCAGAGGGGCCTGAAGGACATAGAGAAGGCAGGGTAGAGCTCTAGTCCGAAGCAGGGAAGGCAGCCAGGCTTCAGCCTCAGTCTGACCACCCACCCACCCCATCCCCATCCCCATCTTCCCTAAGTCAGGATCCCTGCGGTTCTCCAACAGGCAGCCACACCCACTTAGAATCCCCCAGTGAACAGTGGGAGTAGGTCTTGGTAGACTCACAAGTAAGGGACTTGCTGGAAAAAGGAGACCCCGACCCAGCAGTTAAGGGCTATTAGGGTAGATGGCTGAAGATTGCCACCTCTGCCTGCCCTTTACTTTGCCATGCCTCTGGTGGAGCCCCAGCTCTGGGCCTTTGCATCCTGCATTTCTCCTTTTTCTCCCCCACATCTACTCTCTCTGACCCTGGATCCTGCCGAAGCACATTCCACCTACTTCACTCTGTTGATTCCTCCTCCAGGAAGCTGTCCCTGTCTTCTCTGCCTTGCCCCACAGGTTCCTGGGCTTTTCTTCCTGTACCTTGCTATTTATGATATGACAAATTCTCATCACCTCTCTACTGTTTCCTCCACCACCAGTAGAAGTGATGTCTGGCATGAGGGACTTTGGGAGTGTCCAGTCAATGGATGTCCATGTTTATGGGCAATAAAGAACAATCTGTCCCTTCCTTCTGCCTCTGGCTTCCTCTGAGCTTGATCTATGAACAGGACTTCAATGCCTGCATCCCAGGAGCCCAAGGCTCAGGGGAGAAACAAATTCCCCATCCCTTCAAGGCAAGTGTGAGTCCTGCAATCTGCTCTGATGGACTCATGGGGAGCTTACACCCCTTAATAAATGGGCCAGTGGATGGCTGGTCACTCTGTGGGGTAGCAGCCCTCAATGGTACCTGAATTCCTGTTCAGCAGCTTTGAGTGCAAGCACAGGACCCAGCTTTGTTTCTAGTCCCAATTTTGGCTCTCCAAATAGGGGCAGATAAATTTGCTTGGGTCAGCCCTCTGAAAAGTGACTTCATGGGGTCTTGTGCCAATGCCTCAGGCTGAATGACCCCCCCACACACACACACATACACACAAGGTATTGGGTTCCTCTTGGCAGTCTGTTCTGTGCTCTGCACACACAAGACTGGTGTAGACCTATGTTTTTCATCACCCACTGAAGCGGTTTGAATATCCCCTCCTCTGTGGCACTTCTGTGGCCATCAGCTTCCTTCCTCCTAGAGCATCTTCCTCCTCCTCTCCCCATAGCTTTTTAAGCCTTCCCTAGAACCAACCCCAAATCCTTCCTTTAGGCCCAGGCCCGATTCCTAAGTGCATCATGGAGATAACCCACCCCATGCCCCACCAGATGAAAACCCTGATTAGGTAAGGAGCAGGAGGCATAGGCAGAAGTCTGTTCCCAGGGTACCTGGCTTCACCCCATGTGATCTGTGACAGTGAGCATTCATTCACTTGTTGGCTTAGCCAGCCACTGAGGTTGTAGGCCTGCCAAGGGCTCTGGGAAAGCCATAGTTATCTCTCAGCATCATGCGCTGTCTCCTCTGCCCCTGGGACCCCAAAGGATCGCCTCTCTTGGGTTATGTACAAATGATGGGAAGAAATGGCAGCTGAGATGTAAGAAGGGGGCCAAGGATGCCAGCAGAAAGGTGGCAGAAGGGCAGGCAAAGCTCCCAGTCCTGGGAGTGACAGCCCGTCGCTCTGGAGTGTTCCTGTCCTCTCTGTCCTCCCCCACTGACCGCTGTCATTCTCTCACCAGTGTCATCATGACAGGGGCCTACAACAACTTCTTCCGCATGTTCGACCGAAACACCAAGCGGGATGTGACTCTGGAGGCCTCCAGGGAGAGCAGCAAACCCAGGGCGGTGCTCAAGCCAAGGCGCGTGTGTGTGGGTGGCAAGCGGCGGCGGGATGACATCAGTGTGGACAGCCTGGACTTTACCAAGAAGATCCTGCACACGGCCTGGCACCCAGCCGAGAATATCATTGCCATTGCGGCCACCAACAACCTGTACATCTTCCAGGATAAGGTCAATTCTGACATGCACTAGCCGGCCTCAGTGGCCCTCCTGGCCACCTCTGTAGGGGGGCAGGATGATCATGGTGGCCATCGTGGGGACATGAGTCCCTAGGATGGAGTCGCCTTGGATGGTAATTGCCAGTTTAAAGAAAGGAAAGGAAGGAGCCTCAGTCACAGGTGATAAAACAGATGTGCCTGGTGGGTCTTGGTCCAGGGTTCCTTTGTTTACGCCCTACCTGTCTCAGGCTAGGCCTTTCATTATTATCAGGACTTTATTCATGTCCAGGGTGATTTTACTGCAGTGGATCAGTTTCTACCAGGGAAAGTAAAGCTGGTCTGTGATGGGGCTTCAGAGAAAGAGTGAAGTTCACAGTGCAGTCAGGATCTTCAGATCCTCAAGGGAGCCAGCCACATGCCCCGGTTCAGCCCTTCTGGTTCATGTTGGATTTAGGATGGTGAATCCTCAGAGTGCTGGCAATGCCAGCTCCTCACTTGGGTGTTTGGGCTGTCTTGTGCCAGGCCAGGGCAGGCTCTGAGAGGCAGAGCTGAAGTCCTACGGTTAATCGTGAGGCAGGGCTGGGTTCCTTGTGTGGGTTTTCCAGGCTGGGGCAAGTCCTGAGAAGCAGGACAGGGGACCCCGTGTGGCTATAGCCCTCACCTCACTGCCGTCCGTTTGTGAGTGCCCACCGCACGCTGGGCATGGTGCTCAGCCCACGGTGACTGTGGCCGGATCCCCACAGCCCACTCTATGATGGCTTTGCTGTCGCCCTCCCACGCTAGCCTGTCACCTTCCCACGGCTGACGGTGGGGCCTGTCCTTGACTGTAGAATCCTCATGTCCGAGAAGCAAGTGTGTCTCTTCATTTCCGTAAATCCCAGCTGAGAGCCAAGCTCTGCTGGAGCTGGAGGGTGGTTACCGCCCCCTCTGTACACAGGAGGAAACCAAGGCTCTGAGCAGAGAAACAGGGTGCTTAAGGAGTCACCCCCTGAGGGCTGAGTTGGGGTCCCATGCAGGTCTTTTCCATAGGCTCTTTCCAACCCACCACACTGGTGCCTGGTCCTCAAGCAGCATTCCAAGGGAAGGCTTTGGAAGAAAAGCATCTCCATGCTGTGCAGGCAGAGCAGATGCGCTGGTGACGGGACGGCACGAGAGAGAAGATGGAGAAGATGGCATCCGGCTTGCCTCCCCAGATGCTCTTCACCCATGTTGTACTCGAGGCTTTCTCCTCACCCTCCCGGCTGTTCCCCATGGAGGTTGCATGCGGCCAGGCAGCCCCAGAGGACGTTTACTCAGACCTCCCCAGGGCGGTAGGTCAGTGGCCATTCAGAAACCCCTGCTCCATCCTCACTCCTGGAATCCCGAAAACGCAGAGCTTGGCGTTTGGACCCTGGAAGTGGAGAGCAGAGGGGCTTTAGTTTTCACAGCATGGACTTCCACCCAGGAAACAGATGCGACGGAGTTTTTTTTTTTTTCCTCAATGGATCAAGGCATCCTTGTGTGTGTCAAAGCACAAACCGCATGCACACTCACTTCCGGCCATGTATTTACACAGAAACTGGGTCCATTACATTCTTTTTTTTTTTTTTTTAAATCAACATGAATGAAGAATGTTTGTTTATCTATCACTGTAAAATTCAGGCGCTCTGGACAGTATTATATGTACATATTGACCCTGATTCAAGGTAGCAATCAAAAGATTGGGCAACTTTCCCCTCTTGTAAAGGATTTGAAGAATGTGGCCAGTTGTATATAAATCCCGTGGAAGCCAAAAATCCAGGTGAGAGGGCCTTACACACTGGCCTGGATCTCTGGCCCACCCATCTGCCTTTGCGGTTCAGCATTTTAGAGAGGATACTCGCCCTGGGAGCTGGGATGCTGCTGTCAGATCACAGGTTTCACTCGTTCCTTCTTCAAAGTCAAATCTTACAAGGTCTTCAAAAGGCGGGGTCTTTTTGCACATGCCCCTGGTTTCTAGACTTGTTTTAAACGTTGGGTACCAAAGTAGAAAGGAAAAAGAAAGACAAGAAGATGTCAGAAGAAAAGCATGTCTTTGGGACCCCAGGAAATCACCCAGGTCCAGAGCGGACTGCGAATAATATTGTGTGTATTGATTGAGGAAAAGGTGTAAAGGGGGGGAGGGGCAGTGTGAGAAGAGGCAGAAGGACCAGAACCTCGAAAGGCGCAGCAGACTTTGCCATCTTTCTCTGCTTAAGTTTCTCTGGTCTTGAATATGTGGCATTTCCCATAATCATTGCGACATTGTTGGGGTTTTGAGTTTTGTTTTCTTCGGCTTTGATTCTTCTCCGAGGGCAAAGCCCTCGGAGGGTGTTGGGTATGTATGTACGTGCTGGTAACACAGTCAGGCCCAGTCATTTGGGGTTCTGTGGCTCATAGGTGCATTTTTTTTTCCTTCGGTGTCTCACAAATTATCCAACTGTTGAATAAAATTATAAATATGTTAATACCAGCTTTTTCCAATAAAATAACAAATGTTACATCTAAGAGGAGGCTCGGAAGGCTGCTAATTAGAGAGCTGACCTGGGAGGGGGCGCCACTGGGAGCCAGCGGGATGGGTGGGGTAGGGAGTGGCTCCCATCCAGACTGCGCTGAATCCAGCAGTGTCATTTTGGCTCTGACCCTAACCCAAGTGGAGGAAGGAATAGAGTCAGTGGGGACACTAGTCCTACAGGTCTGCCCTGTGCCTGGAGGAGGGGGTCCCCAGATGGTGGTTGCGGAGCCCAGTGCCTGGCATGTGTTTCATGATGGGTGGCCTGTCCCCCTCTGTAGCAGGTGTGTGTAACTCACCACAAACCCAGGTAAGGAAACTGAGGCTAAAAGAGAAGCATTGGCCTAGTTGCATGTGCTATCTGGCTGGCCTCAACTCTAGTGCCTTTTTGTGACCTCACACTGCAGAGGCCTCTGGGTTCTGGGAATGGGCTGCTGCTAGAAAATCAGGGCTTTTCTCCCTCTGGTACTCCCTGCAGCCCAGATCTTACACTAAGGCCTTTTATGGTAAGGAGGGCGGTAGAGTCGGAGCTAAGGCTGCCATCTATCCACAGCCTCCAGGTCAGCATCAGAATGAGAAGGCCACTTCCTGGTTGTGTGTCATTTGGCTAACCTCTGACCCGAGTGTGTAAATAGAGTGTGGCTCCTTAGGACCGCCTGGGTACTAATGAGATAAAAGCTCCTTCACGGAACCTTTGTGCCCTGGAGGAGGCTGTGATACAGGATTGGCTAGCCTAGGCTCCATAAGATGCTTCAAATAGAGTGCAGATGGAGTTACTGTCACTACACCTATTTCATACATGGAAACACTGAGGCTCATGTCTGGATTGGTAGAACTAGTAGATGGGTAGGTCAGGATTCAAACCATCATGGCCAAAATGCCAGCGCAGTGTGGCTGCTCAGGTTGGCGTCTGATACTGCAACCTCAGTCCATCAAGTCTAACGGAAGATAGTGGCTGTTCCCATGGTCTTTGAGGCAGAGGAACTGTCCTGGATGACCCAGGAGGTCCAATCTGGTCTCCTGAGCTCTCTATAGTGGGGGACTATCCTGACCTTAGTAGAAGGGAATATGACATCCGGAAAAGTTTCAGAGTCACGCACAGCATGAGGACACAACAGCCATGGCTGCCCGGAGAGGTAAAGGATGAACCACAGCCACCCTATAAAAGGCCTCTAGTCTCTCACTGGCCTGGGGCTTGCCAATGGTAGCTGGCCAGGGATCCCTGGTACCAAGATTACAAAACATGCCTCACTGAGGTTGGCTTTTTTTTTTTTCCTTTGGGTTCCAGGAATCTGGTCCTCATGCTTGCCCAGCAAGCATTACTGACTGAGCTATGTCACTGCCGGAGCCTCTAGAGGTCCTAGCTCTGCCAACCTTGACTTCTCCCACTGAGAGCCACAATGGGCTTGAGGTCTCCAGACTGCAGAGATGAATAGGTGTTCTTCTAAAACTCCTAATTTGTGGCTGTTTGTCCAGAAGCCCTGGGCCAGCACATTGGTAACTTCCCTCTGGTCACCTAGGAACATTCTCACCTCTCTTCATAGACAGGATGCTCCGGGAGGCCCCAGGACTTGCCTAAGTTGCATAGCACAGAGTAGGCGGCGACAATGGCAGGAACTGAACCCACCTGACCACACCTAAACCTTCCTGACGGGAAAGATGGTGGTGCCCTTCTGAGGGGGCTCAGAGGTGGGAAGGAGTGGAGCCAGGGCTGGAACTTAAGCAACAGAGGGACAGTGGGCCAGACCTGCCCCAACGCCACACCCTGGAGAGCAGACAGGACCCACTGCTGTCCCGGGGAGGAGCTTCATGAAACAGTGCTCAGGTTCAGGTTAGGGTCAGGTTTCCAGAGCTCCTCAGCTGCCATCTGCCCTTTGAGGAGAAACTGGGGTGTTAATCTCTCCACAGCCCTGATCGCCCACAGGCTCTGGGCGATCTCTGCACCTGTCAGCCCTTTCACTCTGTGTCACTGGTAAGAACAGGGACTCCTCTGGGTCTGGAGTGATGACCTGTCGGGAATGCTGGCCATGCAAGCATGAAGACCTGGAGCCCACGGGGAAAAAGCTGATCATGGTGGCACGTGCTTGTCAACCCGGCATCAGGGAGGAGGAGGAGACAGGAGGGTCCCTTGAGCACACTGGCCAGCTAGCTGAACCACCAAGCCCTGGGCCAGTGAGAGACCCTGTCTCAAAAAACATGGCGACAGCTCCCGAGGAGCGATGTCTAAGGTTGACCTCTGACCTCCACATACACTGTGCACACACAGTGAGTATGGATGACTCTGAGCCACGTGCAATACTAAGGGCTGTGTTCACATCTCAACCACCAGCACGCCACCCTATAGTTGTCAGAGGGCACCCAGTGCCATGCTGGTGGCAGGGGCAGCCTCCAGAGCCCCTGGTCAGAATGCCCATACTGTGCCTGGACCTTCCAGCTGCCCTAACAGCAGTGTTGCCTGCAAGTGCTATGCTGGTGAGTGTTTCAAGCTGCCAACCAAACTTTTGCCCTGCCTAGAGCTACGTCGTAGTGCCCATGCCCACTGATGGAGACCCTAAGGGCCTGGCCACTCTACTCTCCTTGGTTCTTATAGTGAGCCCACACTGTCGGTCCTCACACTGCAGAGACGAGGAACTTGGGGCTCAGACAGGCCAAGGGACTTGCCCATGGCTGCACAGTAAAGACTGGAAGCTGGGCCTCTGGTACCTATGCAGGCACATGTTCTAGAGCTGAGATAAGCACGGGAGGGGCATTCTTCCTGTCCCCAGAACCTTGTTCTTCCTGCTCTGACACTTGGCCTGCCACAGGATGATGCTCAGACAACAGCACAAATCAGAGGAAGTGTTCCCATTTCTGCGGGCATCTGCTGGCTTTCCTGATCTGTACATTGCAAGAGGTTGATGTGCTGTGGCTGCAGCCACTCTCATGAAAACTGCTAAAACCCAAATGGCTTCCGGAGCCTAAGCTTAACAGGGTACCTAGACAGAATCACTAAGATTGTGTGTGTGTGTGTGTGTGTGTGTGTGTGATCCTCTGTCATTGCCTCCCCAGCACTGGGATTACAAGTCCACACCATTACACTCAGGTTGCTAGCAATGGTGCTGGGCATCAACTCAGGTCCTCATGCTCACACTGCCCATACTTTACTGACTGAGCCACCTCCTTGGCCCCCACAGCCAGCAGGTTCTCATCAATAAACCTTGTGGCATCTTCAACAGAGACTGTTTTCTTCTGGGGACTTCAGTTCACCGCAATACATGTGCTTGTGGGGAAAGCTACATCTGACCTCAACAGATAAAGCCCCGACCTCTCTGCTGTCCCCACCCTGGTGGGTATCAGACCAGGAGGATAAGTGAGGGCCACACAGGTGACAGCTTCCACATCGCTGTGCTATAGCTTAACCCCAGGATGTCTGAAAATTGCCAAGTTCTGGCAGGCAGGAATATTGCCTCTTTAAACTTCATTAAAGACACTGAGCCAGGAGTGATGGAAAAAATCTGGAAAAACACAATCTATTTAGGAAGAAGAGGTGATGTTCTCACTTTGTTGACAGCTGTGGGGTCAAAGCATGTGGGCTTCTGGGGCTTCTTTTTCTTTTTTAGGTTCATTGTTTTGATTTTAGGTGTTGGTGGCTGTATGGAGTACCATCATGTGCAGTACCCATGGAGGCCAGAAGAGGGCCATCGTAACCATCATAGTTTCCAGGAACTGGAGTTAGAACCCATTGTGAGCCAGCGCTCTTACAGCCTTTCCAGTCTTTGTGGGGACTTTTAAAGGGTGAGGAAAAGAACCCCCAGGTCTGTGGAAAGTCTGTCCTGTCACCGATAGCATCGTAGAGTTGTGCCACTCATCACCTTCCAGTTTCTGAAGTCAGGCTCTCAGAGGAACTCACAGACAAGCTGCATTTCCGGGGTCACATGGATGGAGGCTGTCCCATTTGCTTAGGTGGCTGTTGGCTTGTACACAGGCCTCTGCGTAGAACCATCCAGAACCACTGCCCTGGGAGCAACCTTGCTCAGAGCCGGCATCCCTTCTAAAGGGACTGCCCTCTTGGCCGCATTCTGATGTTCAGTGACCAGCCCTCTGCACAGTTGCTGCAGGCTCGTGGAGACCATGGGCCGACATGGAGGCCACCCCAGGACCTCAGCAAGAAGAGACGAGTTACTAGACTTAGCATAGGCCCTGTGGGCTACTCACCCTTACTGGGGCAATTATGCACACAAGCATAATGAAAAGCAGAGAAAGAGGGCTTATTTGCCGTGAGCACCCTGGAAATAGGAAAGAAGAGGTCCAGTGACATCCCTCCAAGTCCATTTTCAGGGTTCTGACATGAGGTTTGGTTTGAAATAGAGGGGCAGGGCTGTTCATCATTGCGCCACCGTTGTCTCAGCCCCAGTATCTTTTGTGAGGTGGTCGGAAAAGTTATCAGAACTTTGTGAGAACTTTGTCTCTCCCTGGCAGACAAGCTGCTCCTCTGCCTGGCCCCAGGCTTTAGCCTTTTCCTTCTCCCAACAGGAGACTTCCTGGGCAAATCTCAGCACTTGGAAACCATTGTTTCGACAGTCTGATAGCCAGAGGGAGGAGTGTCAAGTGTTTCTCAAGTATGTCTTCATTTCTGCAAGGATGGTGGCGCATGGCACCAGCCAGAGCACGCACTTGATTCTGTTGGGAGCCGTCAAGACCCGGCACCTCGATATTCAGAATACCAGGCTAAATCCTTGGGCTACAATGTCCCATACAGCAGCTCATCCTGACGATTAGATGGGAAGGAGGGGGGTTGGAAAGAAAGCTCAGCAGTTAAGAGTACAATTTGCTCCTGCAGAATATCCAGGTTCAGTTCCCAGCACCCACACAGTGGCTCACAAGCAACTGTAACTTCAGGTCCAGGTGTCCAGTGTCCTCTTCTGGCCTCTGCAGACACCAGGCTCACATGCATATACACATTTGGAGGCAAAGTACATAAAATTGTATGTATGTATGTATGTATGTATGT